AAAAAAAAAAAAGTGGACACAATAATTGTGCCAACTTCATAGTAAGATTTAATCACTTACTATGTGTAAAGCATTTTAATCACTCAATAAATGTTATTAATTTCCACACAGTATCAAGCACTCAGCCTTATATGATGGTCAGTTCTCTTTCTTTTCCCTTCAGAGGTACCAGTTTGCCACTCTTCCAGGATTAAAGAAATCTATAGCAAGCAATATATAAATTCACTAATATATTTTGATTATACATAATTTTAGCACATATACATGTATGCCTAAATAATTAGGCTTTGGATTTTTATAAATTACAATATATGTAATCTTTGGCTAATTTTTTCATTCCACATTTCTAAGATTCATCCATGTTATTAAACATAGCTCTGTTTTATTCATTTTTATGTTATTACATTGATGTATATGAAGTGATTTTTAAAAATCTAGAGAATTATTCTTCCTTTTGTCATGTTATTACATGAATAAAATAAACTATATCATTTGAACACTGGCTGCTTTTAGAAATAAATTAATATCTTGGCTCTGTAGCTCAGTGGCTAGGGCACCAGCCACATACACTGGACCTGGCGGGTTCGAACCCAGCCCAGGCCTACCAAACAACAATGACAACTACAACCAAAAAAAATAGCCAGGTGTTGTGGAGGGTGCCTGTAGTCCCAACTACTTGCGAGGCTGAGGCAAGAGAATAGCTTAAGCCCAAGAGTTGGAGGTTGCTATGTGCTGTGATGCTACAGCACTCTACCAGGCAACATAGTGAAATTCTGTCTCAAAAAAAAAAAAAACAGAAAGAAAGAAATATATTAATACCTTAATTATGTATTCTGTTCATTATTAATGATCTCTTTTTATAATATTTCTCAAAGTGTTACTAACGTATAATTTGAATTTTAAAAATCTAATTTGGTTATTTTGGTGGTAGAGATTGACTTTGCCAATTAAGTTGAGCTTATGCCAAACATTTTTTATAAGTTCAGTATCTGAAATCTCTAGCTCCAAGGCTGACAAAAATATTGAAAGCTGTGACCAGTAAAAGCATTTGTCAAAAGGGTATACTGACTATTAATAACATTTTATTTTCACAGTCTGTTCTGGAGATAATAGTCTGCTTACAAAGTGCTCTTTGTACATGTAAAAACTAACAGATGTAAATAATAATCATTTGATAAGCCTTATTAACTTTTTTTTGGCATATGTCCCAGAAATTAAGAAAGCAAATGACTACCAACTGAGAAATAACAACAACATTGCAAAATAACCTAATCCAATTCTTACTTAAAACCATTGCAACTAATTTTTTATAATAGATTACTATGTAATCTTAGGCAAGTAATTCTGAAAGAATTCCAAAAATTGGGTGATATTCTAACAAAGCTCTTTCCATTCCTATCTACTTGTTTGGTTGTTTGTTTGAGACAAGGTCTTGCTCTGTTGCCAGGCTGAATTGCAGTGACATTGTCATAGCTTACTGCAGCCTCCAATTCCAGAGCTCAAGTGATCCTTCTGCCTCAGCCTCCCAAGCAGCTGGGAATATCAGACTGCACCACCACACCCTTTTATTATTTTTTTTTCTTTTGGTAGAGGCAAGGTCTTGCTATTGCCCAGGCTGGTCTTGAACTCCTGGTCCCTAGTGATCCTCATGCTTTGACCTACCAAAATGCTAAGATTACAGGCATAAGCCACCATTCCCAGCCCCTATCTACTTATATAGGTGAGGAAGTTTTACCAGCTTTGTCATTAAATTGAAACATAGGAGTAGAATTAATGTTTACATTTATCTCACACAACCAATAATATTATCCAATTATAGTTACATTTGATTGCATTTTTTAAAAGCTCCATTCATCTCGTTAACTGGTAGACTTCCACTAGATCTTTACTTTATTACTAATGATTTACCAAAATGTCTAATAAATTTGTGATGTTTTGAATATGGTATCTGGCTAATAATTTTACAAATGAGTCAATTCAGCACAAATTTTATAAAACTCAAAGCCTACTGGTCCACAGGAAATTAAAATATTAAACATACTTATCTATATATTTTGGAAGATGGGGGAATTGTGATGTAAATATTAGTTCAAGGAGATAGAAAAATGGTTTAAAATGTCCAACTGCTAAGTAGTATATATTTATATTCTTTTTTACTAGACAGTGGGTATTAACACTTTGTAATGATATTCACACATAAGCAAATATATTTTTAAAAGACATGTAACAGTTTGGGTTTTTTAATTCAATATTTGCAATGTTTCAGAAATGAAAGCCCCTGCTTTTATAGCATGATAAAGAAGTTTAAATATCTAATTATATTGCGTAAGAGGGTATACCTATTTTGAAAAGCTTTTGGAAGTTGACAAGCAAAACAGTCCCAAAAAAACTAACCTAGGCAGAGTACAGGCCTATTTAAGGAACTCTTATCTATGCAACTGAACATCTCAACACTCCAACTAAAAAAAATTGGAAAATATATGGCATGAATTTCAATTTTTAAAACTGTAAACACAATGGAAATTTTATTTGGAGTTTTATTTTTATTTTATTTTTCATTTTAATTTTCATTATAATATGATCATTTGCTGGCTGGGTGCAGTGACTCACACCTGTAATCTTAGCACTCTGGGAGCCCAAGGCAGGTGGCTTACTAGAGGTCAGGAGTTCAGGACCAGCCTTTGAAGAGTGTTCTACCAAAAGTAGAAACAATGTGTGCAGCACACCTGTGGTCCCAGTTACATGTAAGGTGGTGACAGCAGGATCACTTGACCCCAGGAGTTTGAGGTTGCAGAGAACTGTGATGACACCACTCTACCACTTTATCCAAGGCTACAGAGCAGAGACTCTGTCTCCAAAAAAAAAACAAAAACAAAAAGCAAAGAAAGGAAGACAATTTGATCATTTTCATTTGCTGATATGGCATTATATAAAATAATTTTATTTTATCATATAAATTTATCTGTAACTTGGACTATTTGTATTGAACAGCCTACTTAGCCATAATTTTAGGTTGTAATTTACAGTCTATGTCAGATGACGTGGAGTTAGTTTAGGTCAGGGAAAGTAGAGAAAGCACCTTTGTACCCCCATGAATGTTCTTACAAACACCTAAAAAGAGAAAATTCCAGCACCTCAAAGAAGCTTCTGCTCTCTCTTCACTTCTCCCGAATTTCTCCATGAAAACAGAGGAGTGAATTAATTAGTTCCTGAAAAAGCAAAAGTCTGACATCTATCTGGATTATATTTCTTTACTTGGATGGATTAAGACCATGAAGACCACTATGAGCATGTACATTGTTTCTTTTTGACTTTTTCACTAGACATTATGTGAGGCAGACCTTGATCTTCAATTCAACTCTCCCACCTCTCCACATAAGAAGTTACCAGGAGTATATTTTGGAAGGGGGCTGTCTCTTCCTGACCATTAATAAAGCCGGTGCTTGGAATGGAGGTAGGTATTACCAATAAGGATACTTATGTATCCAAGAGAGAATTTATGCATTTGATAGAGTGAAGAGAATACAGAAATCATAAAATTATTATTAATAATTTTCAGGATTGGTTTGAGCAAATTACATGTATGTAGGTTGTTAGTATTTACCGGGCTCAAGAAGTCTGAAGAAGGAATTGTGCTGGTGGCATATCTAACGTCTCATATTAACATGGAAGTTTAGAGAACTCATAAAGATATCCAAGCAGAGACTAATAAAATGCACACGTGTGTGCACACACATATACACACAATAGAACACACCAGCCTTGAGCTCAATCCTATTCCCTCTCTGAAAAAAGAGTAAGTCTAGTTAAGCATTGTAAAGTTTTACCTGTCCCCCTTGTCCCTTCACTGAAGCAGGTTAGACTTGAATGAGATGTTTGTAGTTCAGACAGCCTTTTGTCAGTTTTGCCATATGTAAAATGGTAAGTCACTGGGAAGGAAAAGGAAGGATTAGTGTTCATCAATCTTTTGCTGTAGAGCCTTATGTTCTATATCTGTGCCATGCCAGCTTACCTCCAATTCCCACTCTTTTTTCTATGCAAAGTCAATAAAGGCCTTACAGAATTATTGCTGGCTTGTATTCATTTATATTACTTGTTTCTTTATATGTCTGCTCATTTATTTTTGGTCTTTCCCCCCCTAGAATTTAAGTTCCATATTCCAGGGCAGAGATTCTGTTTTCTACATCAATTATAAATGCCTAGGGTAGTGACTGACACGTAGTCATCAATAGAAATTTTTTGACTCATTGAATGTCTGTTTTCTCTTAATTTTAATAAGCTTGAAGCAAGCACACAGGTTATTTTGATGTTTTCTAAATATTTCTAAAAGTAGATGGCCATAGATAAACATATGGGGTACATAACAAACAAAGGGAGATTTTAAACATTTATAGAGACATTTTTAAAATAAATTTTTATGTTCATGAGTGTACACATTGAACAAGACCTATTCTCTCTGAGGTCCTGACCTGATCTTCACTCATTTCTTTTGTGTGCTACTGCTACCAAAGTTCAAGGCAGTCAAACCTTTCTTTTTTTTGTTTCTGTCCCCCCTTCCCCCAAACCTTTCTTTCTTTTAGCCCATTTTTTGGGATTCTGAATTTCTGTTGCTTCTTAATGAAATAACTATTCTTAAGTCCTCTTCTCTCTTCCACTTAATGATGAAAAGCAAATCAAATTCTAATTTTAGTGATGTTTTTTGTGTTTTGCTAAACACTATGAGATTTATTTATATCTTCTAGAGAACTGCATCCATGATCTGTTTGTTACAAGAAGTCACTTTCACTTCCTCCCAGAAAATTCAATAACTATTTTCAATCACCTCATCAGTGAATAGAAGACCAGACAGTGGATTGGAGAGCAAAAAGTTCTCTGAGAATGCTCATATAACTTGAAATATGTATCTGGATACAAATGAAGTAGGGAAGAAATATGCTATTCTCTTTAATTCCATTATTTCATTCTAATAGTTTTTTTCTCATATTGGAAAAAGTCCCAACATGAATCAAAGACACTAATCTAAAATATGACCACTATAAAAGCAGTTAGAGTTGGACTGCCAATAGAGAGGCTTTGTGACTAGAGAACACATGATCATTGGCAGACCAAGTCCTGGAAGATGGTGTCTTATGCGGTCTGACAATTCATATTCATAAATTCATCCTAGAAAAAGTGCTACAAATTTCTTTTTTTTTTTTTTTGAGACGGAGCCTCAAGCTATCCCCCTGGGTAGAGTGCTGTGGCATCACAGCTAACAGCAACCTCCAACTCCTGGGCTCAAGTGAGTCTCCTGCCTCAGCCTCCCAAGTAGCTGGGACTACAGGCGCCCGCCACAACGCCCAGCCATTTTTTGTTGCAGCCATCATTGTTGTTTGGCGGGCCCGGGCTGGGGATTCGAACCCACCACCTTAGGTGTATGTGGCTGGCGCCTTGGCCGCTTGAGTCACAGGCGCCAAGCCTACAAATTTCATTGCTAAATATCACCATGGTCAACTTTGAAGCATTTTCCTTGGGTATCTGTGCACCAATGCCAGTGCCTAATCCACCCTTCAAAACAATTTTAGAACTCTTTTTCTGGAATGACCGTCAGAGCTATCATTGTACAAGGTCTGACAATTAAGTCTGCAAACTTGCCACTGTACACTTACATTGCCAGTACTGCACAAACAATTTGGTAAGATTTCATAACCTTGGGCGGCACCTGTGGCTCAGTGGGTACAGTGCCGGCCCCATATACTGAGGGTGGTAGGTTTGAACCCAGCCCCAGACAAACTGCAACAAAAAATAGCTGGGCATTGTGGCAGGTGCCTGTAGTCCCAGCTACTTGGGAGGCTGAGCCCAGGGGTTGGAAGTTGCTATGAGCTATGATGTCATAGCACTCTACTGAGGGTGACAAAGTGAAACTGTCTCAAAAAAAAAAAAAAGGCTTCATAAACTTGATATATCAATGTCTCACAACTGTATTCAGGTCAATGAGTGGTGGTGTCTTGCTGAGTGGTATTTATTATTGTGCTGTGTGCTTTTGTGTGGGGCATGACAACAGCTCTAATTGCTATTCTAGTAAAAGAGTTCCAAAATTGCTTTGAAGAGTAGACTAGGCACTGGTGTTGGTGTATATCTTCTCAAGGGGAGTACTTTGATGATGACTATAGTGATATGTGGCAATGAGGTATGCAGCACATTTTCTAGGATGAGTTTGCAAATTTAATTGTCTATCTCATAGATGATCACTACAATGAGTAACGTACATGTAGGGCTATGATTCATAAAATGCTAATGAAAATAAGTAAATCTACAAGAGTCAGTTATCAAAAGATAAAGAAAGAGCAGGAAAGGGAGGAGAAAAAAATCAAAAAATGTGTAGCATTCCAAGTAAGAGCCAACATATTAAAAGGGTAAAAGAGAACATACCCTAGGAAATCTTTAGGGAATATGTGAGAGAAAAGGACCAGGGAAACATACCTCAGTGAAGAACTTACCTACACAGCTCACAATGAAACAAGTACTGAGGAGTGCGATGGAAATCACAGCAACAGACCATAACTTCAGAGACCAGCAGACTCCTTTCTCTGCAAGATCAATGCCACAACTACAATTACCAAAGGGCCAGGGAGCCAGAATCCCCAGGAAGTTTAAGAGCAATGAAGAAACTAGATGAAAAGCTTCAGAATAATTAAAAACTTCAAGCAAGAATAGAGCTTGAGAAATCTCTCAGAATAAATGTCTAGGTAGTATCTCTGAAGCCCAAAACAATCTATGCAAAACTCATCCTCCACTGACTTTTATCTGTATTTCCTCGTTCTTTCTTCTTAAATATCACATTCTTCTGTTGATTCCTATCTTTCTCACAACATGATTTTGTCTCTCATTTCTCATATCCTTCTGAATTAATATCTTGTTTTTTCCAGAGATATCAAAATCTGCATGTCCACATTTACTGCAACACTATTGCCAATAACCAAGATATAGCATCAACCTAAGTGTCCATTTGCAGACGAATGAATAAAGAAATTGTGGTCTATATACACAATGGAATATTATTCTGCCACGAAAAAGCATGATATCCTATTATTTGCAACACATGGATAGAACCGGAGAATGACAGGTTTAGTGAAATTAGGCAGGCACAAAAAGAAAAAGGTAGTATGTTCTCATTCTTACTACACACAAGAGACCTAAAAAGAATTGATGACATAGAGAGTAACAAATAGAATGGTGGTTACCAGAGGCTGGAAAGGGTATTAGGAAAAGAGAGACAAAGAAGAATTGGTTACAAACACATAAAAAAAATGCTCATTGTCCCCTTCATCAGAGAAATACAAATCAATACACTTTGAGTTATTACCTAACCTCAGTGAGAATGACCCACATCTCAAGGTCCCAAAGCAAGAGATGCTGGTGTGAGTTGGGAGAGAAGGGAACCCTCAGGAATCAATGGTGGGATTGCAAACTAGTACAGCCTCTATGGAAAGAAGTATGGAGATTCCTCACAGAACTAAAATAGACCTTCCATTTGATCCTGTGATCCAATTACTAGGTATCTACTCGGAAGGAAAAAAAAGACAATTTACCATAAGGACATTTGCAGTTAAATGTTTATAGCAGCACAATTTACAATTGCAAAGTTATGGAAACAACCCAAGTGCCCTTCAACACATGAATGGGTTAATAAATTGTGGTGTATGTATACCATGTAATACTATTTAGCCATAAAAAAGATGGATATTTTATATCTTTTGGAACAACCTGGTAGATGTGGAAAACATTTTCCTAAGTGAAGTATCACAAGAATTAAAAAACAAGCATCACATGTCCTCAGTTCTAATGTGAAACTAGTAGAGTAACAACTATATGTTCACATGAGAGAAAAACTTAATTAAATTCAAGTAGGGGGAGCATAATTCAGGCCTTGGAGGAGCTGTGACTGTAACACTCTACTGGACGAGTTTTCCTGAAGCTGCCAGTTCTTTTAGAACTCATCAAATTGAGGCTGCTCCAACCAGCTCTCCAGGTGGTTAATTTAAGGCAAATCTTGTTAAGCAGATTGAGAATAAGCTCAAAGAGGAAGTGGAATAGTTTGTGAAGAGAATCGGTGGTATTTTTGCCTTCAAATTGAAGGATGGCCCCGAGGATAAAGAAGCCACGTGGCTGTAAAGATTTAAACTTAAGACATTAAACTATAAAGATTCTTGGAGAGAGTGCAGGAGAAACAATTGAAGAAATTGACCTGGGAGAATACTTTATGAGGAGGACCCCCACACACACCCCAGGCAACTGAAGCAACACCAAAAATACATTACCGGGATCTGATCAAACTAAAAAGCTTCTGCATAGCCAAGAACACAGTAAGTAAAGCAAGCAGACAGACCTCAGAATGGGAGAAGATATTTACAGGTTATGTTTCTGACAAAGGTTTAATAACCAAAATCCACAGAGAACTCAAATGTATTAGCAAGAAAAGAACAAGTGATCCCATCTCAGGGTGGGCAAGGGACTTGAAGAGAAACTTCTCTGAAGAAGACAGGCACATGGCCTACAGACATATGAA